GCGTGGGGGGTGCACGCACAGAGGGGTACGGGGGGGCAGAGAGGTGGTGACAGCCGGCCAGGGCGTGGGGGGTGCACGCACAGAGGGGTACGGGGGGCAGAGAGGTGGTGACAGCCGGCCAGCGCGTGGGGGGTGCACGCATAGAGGGGTACGGGGGGGCAGAGAGGTGGTGACAACCGGCCAGGGCCTGGGGGGCGCATGCAGAGAGGGGTACGGGGGACGTCCTGAGCCCCCTCCCCGTCCTCTCTGTGGCCCCAGTACGCGGACTCGGACAGCGGCGACGACTCGGACAAGCGGTCGTGCGAGGAGAGCTGGCGCCTCATCTCGTCCCTGCGGGAGCAGCTGCCGCCGACCACCGTGCAGACCATCGTGCGGCGCTGTGGGCTGCCCAGCAGCGGGAAGCGTCGGGCGCCGCGGAGGGTGTACCAGATCCCGCAGCGACGGCGGCTGCAGGGCAAGGACCCGCGCTGGGCCACCATGGCCGACCTCAAGATGCAGGCGGTCAAGGAGATCTGCTACGAGGTGGCGCTGGCCGACTTCCGCCACGGCCGCGCCGAGATCGAGGCCCTGGCCGCGCTCAAGATGCGGGAGCTGTGCCGCACGTACGGCAAGCCCGAGGGGCCCGGGGACGCCTGGAGGGCCGTGGCCCGCGACGTGTGGGACACGGTGGGCGAGGAGGAAGGCGGCGGCGGCGGCGAGGAGGGCGCCCGCGGGGCCGAGGTGGAGGACCTCCGCGCCCACATCGACAAGCTGACCGGGATTCTGCAGGAGGTGAAGCTGCAGAACAGCAGCAAAGACCGGGAGCTGCAGGCCCTGAGGGACCGCATGCTGCGCATGGAGCGCGTCATCCCTCTGGCGCAGGTGCGGAGGGGGGCCGCTTCCCGTCCCCCGCCCCCCAGTGCTGCGCCCCCGCAGCGCGCCCCCCACCAGAAGGCTGCCCCCCAGCAGCCCAAGCCTCCCACGAACTCTCCCGCCGCGGCCCAAGCCCCCCTGCCAGAGGGCCCCCCCAGCAGCCCACACCCTCCGCCCCAGGGCCTCCCCCTCTGCGGGGCCCCACCCCAAACCCACCGAGCCGTGTCTCTGCGGATGAACCCGCGGTTGTAACGAGTCCCCGTGTCTCAGGAGCGCCGGGGAGCCCCCGTCCCGCCCCCATCCCGCCCCCGCCGCCCCCCTTCAGGCAGCAGCCCTGTTCTGCGGGCACTCGCTGTATCTGTGTCCACGGGCGCCGGGCCCGCGTTTCTGGCGGCGGACACGCTGTGCAGTTGCTACTCGCTTTCTGCGGGCGCCCCCGGGGTTATCGGCGGCCTACCCGCCCCCCCTTCCAGCCCCAGCAGCTGCTCCTTGACCTTGTTGGGCACCTCCTGCCTCAAGGCCTTTGTGCCCGGAGCGCCTTCCCCTCGCTTCCTTCAGGGGTTTTCAGGGGTTCACTCCAGCCGTAGCCGCAGGTGGGGCTGCCCCCGTGCCCGGCCTGGGCCCGCTCCTCCTCACCTTGGTGTAGCGCGCCGAGTACACCACGTCTGCTGTGCGATAGGCATGAGACATATCGGTATAAATACGCGTGAGCCAGCGCACGTGGGGAGGGGCCTGGGACGCGGAAGAGACTCCACGCTCCGAGAAGGAAGCTGGGCTCGATCCCACAACCCGGGGATCGTGACCTGAGCCCCCCAGGCGCCCCTGGATATGTGCTTGGATTTAACTTTATTGAAGCACGATGTGTTCTCTGCTCTAGTTTTTCCTCCTGAATTCACCTGTGTCGCTCCCTTAAATGATGGTATTTTTCCTACGTTTTCACTGGTGGCTGTATTCCCAGGGCACATGGGCAGTGTTGGCGTGCAGGGGTGGGGCGGGGGGGCATGGCGCCCTCCGGGGTGAGCTCTGGTCTTACCGCAGCCCCAGGCAGCGGGGCGTACCAACCTCTTGCACAGGAGGGGGCTGGGCCCCGACAAAGGGACAGGAGGCGGCAGGCCAGGAAGGGACTCCGAGCACTTGCCCCTTCACGCCCCAGCCCCGCGGGCCAGTGTCCCGCCTCGTGGGGGGCCCTTGCCCGCTGTGCCCGCCGCCCTGCTAACCTCTCGCCCCTCTGCCTCCCAGGAGCAGGAGGACGAGAAGGCAGAAGAGGCCGGAGAGGCCGCCTGGGCCGCGCCCCCCGGGCCGGAGGCGGCGGAGGAGGCCCCCGGCGAGCGCGCGCCCCCGGCGCGGCCCCCCTCGCCGTCCCTGTCGAGCTGGGAGCGGGTGTCGCGGCTCATGGAGGAGGACCCCGCCTTCCGCCGCGGCCGCCTGCGCTGGCTCAAGCAGGAGCAGCTGCGGCTGCAGGGACTGCAGGGCGCGGGGGGCCGGGGCGGGGGGCTGCGCAGGCCCCCCGCCCGCTTCGTACCCCCTCACGACTGCAAGCTGCGCTTCCCCTTCAAGAGCAACCCGCAGCACCGGGAATCCTGGCCGGGGGCCGGGGAGGCCCCCGCCGCACCCCAAGCCCCCGAGGAGGTGGCACCCGCTGCGGCCGCCCCCGCGCGCCGGCCCCCGAGTCCCCGGCGGTCGCACCGGCCCCGCAGGAACTCCCTGGACGGAGGCGGCCGCTCCCGGGGAGGGGGCTCCGCGCAGCCTGAAGCCCAGCACTTCCAGCCCAAGAAGCACAACTATTACCCCCAGCAGCCCCAGCCGTACCCCGCGCAGCGGCCCACGGGGCCCCGCTACCCGCCGTACACCACTCCCCCGCGCATGAGGCGGCAGCGCTCGGCTCCCGACCTCAAGGAGAGCGGGGCGGCCGTGTGAGCGTCCCGAAGGCCCGGGTCGGGAGCAGAGCAGAAGCCGGAAACGCCGCTTCCCCGCGAGCCCCGGGCAGGGAGGCGCCAGGTGGGCGAGAAGGTCCGAGTAGGTGATGGACGGCGTGGGAGAGGCTGGGCCGGAGGCCGCAGGAAGGAAGCGCGCGCGGAGTTGCCAGGAGCAAACCAAAGTGGAGAGAGAGGGTGGGGGCTGCCTCGGGGCGCCCCTTGCAGACGGGGGGGGGGGGGAGTCCCACAAATGCTGCTAGGGGTGGGGTGGGGGGTAGGGGTGCCGTGTAGCCAGTGTTTGACTTTCTTTTCAAGTGGGGACACGGGGGGAGGACCCAGGGTGAGGAGTTCTCTCCCCTGCCCTTGTCTGTCTGTCTGTCTGTCTGTGGTGGGCTTCTGTTTCCAGGGAGGTGAGGTGTGGCTGACCGGAAGTCATCCCCCTCCCCTTTCCAGGCCTCCTGCTATATTTGGGGGACCTGTCTGGATTCTGGTTTGGCTGGGGTCCCACGTGGATGTGGGACCCTTCAATAAAGGATAGCAAACAGAGAGCCTGTTGCTGGTGGTGGTTTGGTTTGCCTCTTAACGGAGGGGCAGGTTACATACGGAAAATGCGCAGATCCTGAGCGAGGGGCTCCGCAGGCTTTTACCTGGCCATGCACCCCCGAAGTCATCACCCGGGGGAAGACACAAGAGCGTCTCGTCTTGGTTTCCTGAGCCTTCCACGTCACGACTCCCTTCGGGGTGCCAAGCCCATTCTTTATTTCCCTTCCTCCATTTTGGCTTACCTGGCGCTCCCAGCACTGCGCCCCCCCCCCCCACGGCTCATGGTCACGGCGGGGTGACGGCAGGGAGAGGGAGACCCCCCTTCCGTGCCCACCTGGCTGTTCCTAACAGGCCTTGGGGGCAAGGCAGGGTTCAGCTGCACCCTCCCCCTCACTGTTTGAAAGGTCTTCCACATACTGGGACCCCTCCCCCCCGTTCTGTTCTATCAGATGTTCAACAGTGAATGTTTGTCAAATGCACGGCACCCATCTGATTATTTCCCTCCTGTCCGTGACCCCTTGCGGCCGCGCGTTCCACATTCCAAGCAGCCTCGTGCATCGAGACTAGCAGAAGAAGGCTGCTTGCTCGCTTCCGTGTCCTGGGCTGAGGACCGAGGTTACATCGCACCCCTGCCCGGCCTGCACCTTGCCAAACTCCGGAATCCCCCTGTTTGCAGGAGAACACCTCGCCCATTCGAAAATGGGAGCTGTTTGCCCACAGCTTCCTGATGTCAGTCTCGAGGCGCTAGCAGCCAAACCATGGACATTATCAGAATTGCAGCCAAAACCACGGCTCTTGGCAAGGAGGCGGGTGTGTTTACTCTGGGTTTCCACGCCCTGGTGCTGGCCACCTTCATTCTGGCAGCTCTCCCTGCCAGGTCTTCAGGGACCTGTGGACGGCGACCCAAGATCCAGAACGTAATGGATAGTTTGGCGACAGTGTTTACTTGAGCAGTTTATAATCTGGGCAGGGAGACTAAATGTGAACAAGAAAATGATAGAACACAAAGTTCCCCGCAGATCATAGCAAGCTGAGTGGCTCGGACAAGTACTGGGGGGTGGCGGGGGTCTGAGGTGGGAAAGACAGCTCACTAGTTTAAAATGTAGTCGGACCGGGGCACCTGGGTGGCTCAGTGCCATAAGTGTCCGACTCGAGTTCGGCTCAGGTCATGATCTCATGGTTCCTGAGATCGAGCCCCAACATTGGGCTCTGTGCTGACAGCCAGAGCCTGTTTGGGTTGCTCTCTCTCTCTCTCTGCTCCTGCTCCACCCATATTCTCGCTCTCTCTTAAGATAAATAAACATTAAAAAAATAACAAAATACAGTTGGGTTATTTTTCCCTAAAGACTGCCTTATGTAAATGTGTATTATCTAGATCTGTATCCACTTCGTCCTTCCAAATCAATCTGAAAAGAACTTTAGATTTTATTTAGAGCAGTGCCCACCAATCTTATTGACTACAGGTGCTACTAATGCATAACGTGTCAGACGGCCCTGTAAACTCTGTTTTTATCTCCATTTTTCAGGTGGGAAGACAGGTTTGAATACGATTAGTGAATTGCCCAAGGTCATATACTTCCTAAGAGAAAACGTTAGGACTCCCACCCCGGTGATTTGACTGAAGCCATGCTGTGTCTCATACACCCTGCTTTCCTTCTAGAAGCGCTGGTCCCTTCTCGCCATAGGTATTCTCGAGTATTTCCTGAGTCTGCCTCCGGTTTCCGGTCCCTGAAGACCTGAGAGCCACTCGGCCCCCGTCCCCCAATCATGGGCAGAATCTGCCAGTTTTCTCGCCCACTCAGTTTGGACATTTCTTCAGTTTCACCCTTGGTTTCCTTGGAAATTCCATTTGCTTTTCTTCATTTCTCTTTTGGTGGGGGAGGGGAGAGGCTCTTTCCTTTTGTTAGTTACTCATTTGGATTTTGCTTTTTCACCTGGAGCTTGGGCATCTTGGATACATTTGGGGATTCCAAAATGTTCTTCAAAAAAGTAGCCTTTTTCATACCTTTCTATGTATTCCTAGCTTCTCATTGGTTCGGTGTGAAAACGTTCTTTTCCCTTTTAAAGATTTAACGTCAGCGGCGACTTGATGACATTTTGGCTCGGGTGGACCTTGGGTGCCTTCCACGTGGGTGCCAGACCCCTCTGTTCCCGCCGAATCACCTCTGCCCGCGCCGCCATTGCGTCCCTTCACGTAGACCCTTTGAGACCCTGGGTGCCACTGGGCTCCTGCGTCCTGTGCCAGTACAATTCTGGGGGCCGCTGCCCGCCCAAGGCAGGCTGGCTTTGAGTAGCCTACCTAACCTCACCCGGCTCTCAGGCTCCCCCTATGGCCCCCACTGCTCTGTGTGCCTCGTTAACACGTCCACGGCTAAGGTTGGCTTTGGTGCCTGCCTCCCTCCAGGTCAGGACCAGCAGACTGTGGCATCACCGGGACACGATGTCTGCTCCGAAGGAGGCGTGTTGTAGAAACGGCTCCGCTCAGCCTCAAACAACTCCGCGGTGGTCGGAGCGGCCCATTACCCTGCAGTGTCCCTCTGCCTCATCCGTGAGCGTTTCCACCTCGGCTACCTCCTCCCCCCAATCCCTGGGGAAGGAACATGTTTCCAGAAACCTGGGAAGGTGTTGCCCTGAGCTCCCTGAGCTCCGAGAGCTCTGAGCCCATGGCCCGGGCACCTGGACTAACCTGGAAAGCTCTCCTGCTCAGCAAGCGCAGCTTCTTTAGAAGTGAGCGTGGAAAGTGTTCTCGTGTTTGCAGAGCCTTCTCAGCTGGAAGAGAAGAAGCTCTCCTTTTCTGCGAGTGCAGGCCCGATCCCCACGGGGGGAGCACTCAGATCTGCATTACGGCCACCTCACTAATTAGCTGCCTGGAGCCTCAGTTTCTTCTCTGGACCCGGGACTAAACCAATGGAGCTGTAATGACATACTGCGTGCGTGCAAAGGGGCCTGGCGCCTATGAGGAGCCCAAGGTTGGTGCCTTCCTTTCCCTTGTTCTGACTGGAAATGCAGCCTTGGGAAGGAAGAGAGGTGCCGCACAACGAGGTCATGTCTGGGGTGATGTCAAAGCTCTTCTCCAGGTCAGCCCGCCGCAGGAGGGGCACCCCCGCCCCTCAAAACGTCTCCCTCCAGCCCTGTTGTTCCGCTCCCTGCCGGCAGGGGGAGACAAGGCGCGGGTTCCCTCTGGGGCCGCATTCGCTTGCGCGTTCACAGAGCCTCGGGAGCGCGCGGCCGTGCGGGCCTCCGCGGCCGTGCGCGCCCACGAGACTCCCGGGGCGGGGCGCGCACGCGCAGAAGGCTGCGCTTTTCGCGTGGCCAGGGCGCGAGGATTGAGGCTCCCGGGCCCGAAGGTCAGATGCGAGCGGCTGCGGGGACCTATTCTTCCTCCTGCGCCCGTGTGGCTCTTGGATTTGCAGAAGGGACGACCTGACCCCCTTCGGAGCTGGCGTTTCTTCCCCATCCAGGATGCTCCTGGGCCCCAAAGAAAGGGGACAGAAGGGACATTGATGCATCGCCTTCAGCCACAGGGGTCTGTGCCGGGGGCGCGGACGGACCTCGGGGGACCAGGGCGCCCGCACTAGGGCGGGTTTTGGCCTGGGGGTGGCTTGCTTTGTGCGAAACTGAGCAAATACAGAAGTTTCATCCTAACGTCCCCAGGGAGTGGTTATTAGGGTTCCACGCGCAGCGGAAGCCTGGAAGCTTCGAGCCTCAGTGCCTGGCCCCGCGCCCCGCAGTGGAGGCCGGACCGGGACGTGGTGACGCTCTGTGCGCTGGACTTCGGGGCTCCCTTCGCCCCCAGGCCACAGGCTGCTGCCCTCGCTGCCGCCTGTGAACTGGCCACCACAACTTCGGGACAAAGTTACCCTGTGAGGTAGGGGAAGGAAGGGAACATAATACATTTTTAAAAGATTTTTTTAATGTTTATTTTTGAGAGAGGGAGACACAGAATCGGAAGCAGCTCCAGGCTCCAAGCTGTCAGCACAGAGCCCGCCGCGGGGCTCGAACCCACCAACCGTGAGATCACGACCTGAGCCCCCCAGGCGCCCCCGAGACCCTCTTCGTTTCAAGCTTCCCGGGGCACGCTTACATGGGGTAATGTGATTATGAATTTGCAGGCTTATCATTCTCCCCTGACTCCAGACTCTGAGATTCCGGACTGAACTTCCGATCACCCTTTGAATCAGACCCCGCTCCTCCCCTGGGAGCAGGAACAGCCGCCACCACGAGGCCTCAGGCCAGGTGGGTGTGATAAATGCGTAAGAGGCATGTAAATGAGGACCCTGAGGCAGTTACTCGGTAAGTCACCGTGGCTTCTGGGCAGCGGCCTAGCTGGAGGCCCGTCTCCTGCTGAAGGAAGGCCCGGGGAGGAGCCCGAGACCCGGCCAGCTTTAGCCTCAGAGCCAAAGGCCTTGAGTCTCGTGAGGTTCTAGACCGAGCAGGAGCCCGGCTCGTAAGTGTGAGTGGCCCGAGCCACAAGGCCTGACCGGCAGCGGAAGGAGGCGTCAGGAGACCGGGTCCTGGTTCTGGCTCTGCTCCATCTGACCTCTTGGCTTACGTCCCCCCCAGGCCGTTCTGAGAACCCCCTGGCCAAAGGGAGCTCCCCACACCATCCTGTCTTCTCAGCCCGGAGTGACTCTGTCCTTCCCCAGGATTCCCCTGGTCAAGATTCAACTCAGGTCCTTCCTCGGGAGGGAAGGCTTCATCTTCCCAACCAGCTGC